CTGATCGGTCGCCTTTTTTGGGAACTGGTTGCACATTAGCCTCTCTCCAAGAGTCCGGCACACGACCTGAAGATAGTGACAGACGATACAGTCGCGTTAGCACGGGGGTCAACTCAGCTGCGCAGTTCCTAAGTACAATCGCTGGGATACCATCAGGACCACTAGCTTTCCGGACGTCGAGAGACTGCAGCTGCGTACGCACATCGCATTGTCTGTTACGAATATCAGACATCCTGTAGCTACAGTGAGGTAAAGTTGGTGGCTGTGCGTTACAGTCGTCGAGACAGGAGTTAGCCGCAAACAGATTTGCCAAGAGGTCGGCTTTATCTTGCGGCTTGTGGGCTAGATTGCCGTCAGAATATCTCAGCGGGGGCAGCGAGGGCTGGCAGAAGTTCGACGCAACAGCTCTGGCCAGACGCCAGTAACTACGACTACCAGTGGGATGCGTCAGGAGTTCTTGGCCAACTCGTGTGACGCGCTGAGCGTCTTGAGGCAAAGGATAGCAGCTTCTGTAGATAGACCTGGTCTAAACCCAAATTGTGCATCATGTAACTTCAGATGCCTCCTCAAGTGCTTGTCAAGCAAACTGTCCAGTACCTTTCCAATGATAGTAGCCAAGGATATAGGTCTATAGTTTTTAAGGCAAGAAATATCACCCGTCCTGTTCTTCACTGCAGGCACTACAACTGTTTTCATAAGTTCCTGAGGCAAGTATGAGTGGCTGACGCACAGCATGAAAAACAGGGCGAGTACACTGTGTAGGTTTTCACTACCGTACTTCAAATGCTCCACACTGAGCGAGTCGTGACCCGGCGACCTGCCGCGTGTCAGAAAAATGATCTTCGCAGAAAAATGTACATGCGGCTGCCCGTTTCTTTCGCCATCAAGGTACTGACCCACCGCTGGCCCCAGAGGTGACTTTAACTCAAAATGAGTTTTAAATAATTCCGCATGCTGGACAGGCTCGCACACACCCTCAATACTGAGGTAAGCTCGACTTCAGGCTTAGCTTATTTGTCTCTTTCCAAAAATCTGAAATTTTTTTACTTGAATGGAGAGACACTAATAAATCCATACGTATTTGGTTTTTATTGTCTTAGCACCATTTAAGTTTTGACTTAAATAGGTTCCTAGACTCCTGCATTCTTTTATATACAGGCCCGTATCTAGGTTTGCCACAGTACGCCTACTCTAAAAAATAAAGTGATACATAGCAACATATTTATTCCATCCGATTACTCTTGGTTTTTTATTTGATATGTGCTTATATTTAACTATATTACTCTGTATTGCTGCTTTTGACAGAATATCTATAATTAATCCATACATATCATCTAACATTTTTCTATGCTGTACATTGTTACACATCTTGTCACTACACCTATTTAATTCAGGAGAAAAATTTACATCTTTAAAATGATTAAAACAATAATTTATAAATAATTCGATCTGCCTCTCATCTCTCTCCCCCCATATAATTTCAATTTTTTGATTAAAATTTGTTGCAATTTTAGGCCTAAGGATATTTAGGTTATATTTTAATATCACAGGATAGTGATTCGACCAGGATACATCATATTTTACATGCACATCCTCTACTGAACTTCGTACGGCTTCCGACACTACACAGTGATCAATCCAACTTCTAGTCCCATCTATGTCACTCTGGAACGTATACGTATCTGATGTTTCACCCAACCAGTCTAAATCAACACACCTAAAGTTTTGATCTACGCAAAAACTACGCAGTTCATCACCAAATCTTTTTCTCATATTCGCATTAAAGTTTCCCAGAACAAACACAGAGTCGATACAACTTTTTTCCACAATGGCATGAATTTCACCTAAGCACTCTGAAAATTCAACTAGAATATCTAACGAACCACTGACGTCAGTAGGCATGTATACTGTAAATAACAGAAACGATCTGTCAGCTATCTGCACTTTTATGGCCGCCAGACGATCACTACTGCACACAATAAGTGACACATTATTAAATACACTCTTGCGCCATAAAATCGCAACCCCCCATACGGACGCCCCCGCAGTACACCTTTCGACGTATCCACAGCTGATTTTCCTGTAAATGCAAAATCAGGGCTGATTGTACCTAATATGGGTATATCGTGAGGCAATAACCATGTCTCTTGAAGGCAGACAAAATCAGCTGATTGGCATAACAATCTCACACTATCAATCGCTTTAGTTACTGATTTACAGTTGTATGTACAAAATGTAGTATTTTTAGTAGTAGTAGTAGTAGTAGTTAGTGTATATCGTGTTTGGCCGGACACAGTGCAACTAAATGATTATCACTAGTATCAGGTTTCTTACCACGGTATGACTTCTTTTTATTTTCCCGATATTTCGGAACGGTTGCACGCTCCATGGTCACGGGTTGACTAGCCTCGTGACCATGGAGCGTCATACAAAAAGAAGTCATACCGTGGTAAGAAACCTGATACTAGTGATAATCATTTAGTGAATAACCACGAAAGTCTTAAAATCTATATTTAATAGAGTTCATTATTCAATCGCACGTTTAAGTTCTTAAGAAAACCGTCGCAATTATAATAAAAATATATAGTAGAATAATAACACATAATAATATAGCAACTAGTATTTTATTTATAACTTGTGAAACTGTATGACGATGTACGGTAAAACTCAATAAGGTTTATGGTACATAGCTTTAATTCTTAAGTTAATGCTTTTCTGCGCTAACGTTGAAACGATTATTAAAATTCGAACTTGACAATAGACTGTGATGCTCCTAACTTTTTCTTTCGATGAAAAAAACACATAATGACACGTTCAACTACGCGATTTGTCGTACATTACTGATATAATATAAATCCGTTGGTATATTTTATTCATTAAATTGACAAGGATTACTAATTTTGTTTATTAAAACTATTTAGTCCTATATAGTCCTACTGTTTTTCTTTCATCTACTATTTTCCTCGCTATAGTGAGGTGAAAAGTTATGTGTTTCACTCGGCAGCAAAGTTATGCGTCTCGCGCCTTGAAACCCCCGCTACGCTCAGGATTTTATTTATGAACCACGTCCAATCACTCGCTTCAAAAAAGAACTTTGTAGCATTGCATAACTAATAACTATTGTCACTGTCCACTTTTGTATAATCTGTATTTCTACAAATCGTTATCTCAGCCCGTTAACACCCACTGCTTGGCATAGGCGGAGGCCTATAGGTCCGAAAGAGGAGTCTTTTGCACGCCTCAATCGGTCCTGTGTGAATCTCATCCACAATCTTCCGGCCACTCTGACGATATCGTCTGACCATCTAGCAGGTGGTCTGCCTCGAGAACGTTTCGCTCCTACCGGGTACCACCCAGTGACCGCCTTGGTCCATCGGTCGTCGTCCCACCTAGCAACGTGTCCTGCCCATCTCCATTTTAGGCTCGCTATCCGCATATCGACGTCTACGATCCTTGTTCTCTGTCGTATTTCCACGTTGGGTATGCGGTCGTCGAGGGAAATGCTGAGCATGGTATGCTCCATTGCCCTTTGTCCTACTCTGATTTAGTGCACGTACTCCTTTGTGTACTATAATCGAGGGCTGTAGCTCAGATGCATTGCGAGAGGTATTTCTATAAACTCAAACTATAATAATCTTCAATTTTATACTTTATTTCACTATTTTACATAATTTTGGCGTAGGGTTACGAAACAATGATCTTAATATGATATGTCAAGATCTTCTATTTTCTTAACATTCTTTTTCAAAGAATTCTAAATACAAACTAACT